CGACGTAATAAAAGACAAGTTACTGGTAACAACACGACTTCTCGAACTGTATTGATTATGACACAATAACTTTCTTCGTAGTTTCTCAGGTTTTCTAACCTGAGGATCTCCCGGCTTTTGGATTTGTCGCACTGACAAAGTAAGTCAGCCATCACTCTTCACTATGAGAGTGCTTATGAGTATAGTGTGGCAGGTTTGATTGCCACTGGTGTGAGTAAAGTGTTGAAGTCAGTTTCGTTTGATAAATAATGACGAACTAGACTTACACATTCGCTCAGTGGCAATTGTCAAATGACGCCCCCAAAAGCAAAATAGAATCACATTTGAAAACTTGTGTCTTTACTTCCAGTAACCAGAGTAATGCAAATACAATTATATTCTGTTGCGAAATGCCAACGAACAGAAGTCAACATAAAAAGCTACGGCTTGAATTTTATTGCTCAGTAGTTTCTACTCAGAAAAGAACCATTTTTAGCATAATAAATAAATTGAAAAAATGGGGTATGGCAGTGGCTGTAGATTAGAATCCTGGACGAGACAAAAAACTAATTTTTTGTTCCGGTAAAAAAGATCCATGTTCTTCTATCATTCCTTATGCTAACATATTGTATGGCAGTATGGTTTGTACAGAAACGACTGCTCTTTCCGCTCATGTTTTTAGAAGCTTGAGACAGTCCTTCGCTGCTAACTTGATTAGTCAGAAAAATGTTCGGGACAAAATTTGCCCCATTTTTCATGAAAATGTTGTCTCGAACTTTTTGTTGACTAAATAATATGGCAGTGAAGAACTATTTCAAACTTCGAAATATATGAGCTGAAGGAGTGAAAATTGCTGTACAAAACGCACTATCGAACAATATGTTAGGATAATCCAAGCAGACAAAAATTTTTGTCGGCTTGGGAAGGAATGATGGAAGGACATGCACCTCGTTTACCGGACAAGAAATTATTTTTTTGTCCCGTGTAGGATTGTAACATCCACACCCTGTTCACTATTTCTGAATGTTGATTGAATGTTAGAATGGCAAAAAAGAAATAGAATCGAATACAAAAATAAATCCTTGAGATTCTCTGTGAACTCAAGATTCATATTCACACTCACAGAACGCTTGAAGTATGTACTCCTTAAAGCATGTAAAGTCTATCCTGATGACATCATCCGAGTGTAGGGAAAAAGCAGAGATCAATAATGTGAACAGCTCCTATCTCACATGAAAGATGGTAAAGATCATATTAATTAACGAATGACAATTCTTCACATTGATGATACACACCGGCAATGGCATTCATTGATATGTTCTATTCGTCAGACTAATTTATGTGAAAAATACTGTCGATATAAAGAAATACTGCAGCTTTCAGTATTTATTTTGTCGAAATTTAATTGTAGATTACGGTATATATGAGAGTTCCACACCCTTCATTTTGCGTATTCTTTATTAGTATAGTGAAGCTAAAAATTAAATTTTAGTTCAATATTTCACGCTTAGAGGAAGCTGTGCTTATAAGTTTTTCTTAGTTCTCGATTGATCACTTAATGATTTGTTCGATGTTGAAGTTTTAGTAAACTAGTTTTAGTTTGTGTAATCAATGGATGATTATCTTTCAATGTTCGGCTATATTGTTTAATTGTTCGTTGGTAGTAGTCAATAGCTTTTGGATATGTTTTCCAAAATTCATATGGCATAGCAATTGAACTATAACTCTTAGCAATATCTTGATGTGATGCAGGTAATGATTCACCCCGAAGTTTTAATGCTTGTTCATAACAATCAATAGCATGTTTATAATGTTTCATTGCTAAATAAAAGTTTCCTTTCAACTCTGCAACACTAATAAGTCCTTGTTGATGATTCATTCGTAAAAATATTCGTTTAGCTTTATCATATTCACCCATTTGAAGTAGTATATTACCCAATGTTACCATCGATGCTTCTTCTCCAATATCTTTTTTTAAATATGCGAATAATTCTTTTAATTCAAAATCATCTTCACTACAAAGACTCATGTTTATTGTCCATAATGCATCATTATTATCATAATTGATTTCATCGATACGAAATATTGATCCTAGCATGAATAAGATTTCTCTTTCATCTGGAAAATAACTTATACCTTCAATATCAGCAAATGGTTTTGTTGGTAAACGCGGATCGATTTTAATTTTAAATAAAATACGACGAAGCTTGTCAGTGATTTCTGATAGCTTGGCAAAGTCTCGTGCTTTACTTTCACTACGACTTGTTGAAAAAAAACTATTAATAGAAATAAAACCACCAATACTTGTTTGCATTTGTTCAAGTTCTTCTTTGGCAATAACTTGTCCACGATAAACATAAATAATATATTCATCATTACTTTTTGTGTTCGATAAATTTAATTGATTCATATAAATATAATACAATTGTGTGACTTGTTCTGATAATTCTGTTAGAAAAAATCGAAATGCAAATATCGTGTCAATAGATTGCTCTCTCAAGGCTTTGTTCAGTATGCGATACAGCGATGACTGACGGGTGTACCACCAAACAGCTTTCTCTTGTTTATAATCACGTTCAAATTCTTTAATAATATGTAATTCAGAAGAATTTCCAATATAATTTTCACGCCATGTTTTCATTAGTTCTATTTTAGCATCTTCAGTATGTGTCATACGTAGTAAAACATCAACTAACAACTGAAACCATAAAATTGAACCCATTTCTTTTGAAATATTTTTAGCTGTTGTTTCTTTAGCTACTGCTGTACGATTTAGAATACTCATGGGAACAATATCTTCGATTATATTTCGTAATTTTTGATCTTCAGTAATTTCATCGATTAACTGTTTTCGTTTGGTAATCACTGATCGTATCTAAGAGAAAAAAGACTTGATTAAGATGAAAAGTTTCAAGTTGAAAAATTAAAGCCGTGCAATTTCCTTTTCTTTTCTTATTAAAAAACTTGATATGATTTTGTTTTCTCCAATAAAAACTAACCTTTGAATAATCTTTTGACCATGCTTCATTATATGCTTTGTCAACACAATAAACATAAATGCAGTTTACTTGTACGAGATCATGAATTCGTGGTACGATTGCTCTGCCATAACCACCGGATACAATTAGGATAATTTTTTCACGTTGAATACTGCGAATGTATGTTTCACCTTCTTGTAAATTATCAAATGTTTTGAGATAATTAACACTTGTACGTAAAGCTTTATATGTATCTTCATTATCTTTTGTTTTATTGATGTTTGCATCTAACCAAACGATGAGAAATGTTTCCATATTTGTATTCGCTTTTGATTTTTCTTCAGACATTTGAGGAGCAATCGGTTGATTGAATGCTTGTGTTGTTATTTTATTTTCTAAAAAAAAAAGCTAATTAATATTTTACTACTCTTTAGATTTAGTGAAACCATTACAGTAATGAAAAAATTCACTTTTTTACTCAAACAAGTTGATTTCGAATATGAATAAAAAGATCACACGACTTACGAGGTGATAAATTTTCAATAGATTGTTCTACTTTGGTCGTATCTGGATGATAAGCAGGAAGCGATTGTATATAGATTTTGTATGCTTTTTGATAATTTTCCAATGCCAATTTTTTTTCTCCTTCAAGCTCGTATAAATTCGCAATACTTGAATAGCATTTACCATATTGTGGATGACGACTTGGTAAATTTCGACATATTTTTAATTGTTCATCGAAACATTCGTGTGCTTTTGTATAATTATACATTGATATATAATAATTTCCTTCAATATCAGCTATATTTGATAGACCCTGCCAAACACGTTTTAAATTTGGATCGTTAATTGATAATCGACTTTGATATTTACAATAGAATTCTTTTGCTTTATCATATTCTCCCATTTTTATGAATAAATCACCTAATGTAACTAAGTCTGCTGTATCTTTAATTTCATGTTTTATATAATTAACCATATCTATAAGACGAGGATCATCGTCTCCACAAAGTGAAAGTTTAACTTCCCATATTCCGGAACTTTCACGGTAATATACTGCATGTATTTTAAAAATAGTGCCGAACATAAATAATACTTCTTCTTCTTGAGGGTATTCAGAAAATTCGGAAATTTTAGCATACGGTAGTGTCTCGCATCGAGTATCGATCACAGCGACAAAAAGTACTGGTGCTATAGTGCTAGACATTGCAGAATTTTTAGCAAACTGAAGAGCGACGTCTCGGCTAAGTGAAGAACTAAATAATACTTTGTCAGAATAGAGTGATCCAATATTGTTCTTCAAAATTTCTGCTTCTTGCTGCTTTATACCTAGTCCACGAAAGACCATGATTCTACACTTGTTGAATTCTCTTACAAATCGTTGATGCTCTTCTTGTAGTTGTAGATATAAATATTTAATTATAAAACGAAGTTTGTATAGATCATTGTAATTCCTAGAAGCCAAAGCTTGTTTGATGAGTCGATAGATTCCACACTCTCTAGTATGCCACCAAATAGCATCCGAAGGTTGAAATTCCCTGTCAAACTCTTCAACCATTGCAATTTCTGATGGCCGATCATACTTCTCTCTCCAAAATTGTAGCATGTCTCGTTTTGCTTCGTCAGTATCATTCATACGAATAAGTACTTCGATAAAAAGACGAAACCAAAGGATATCTTGATCAATTGAGTATTCAGATTGAGGTTTAGGTACGAATCTTGGTCCAGAGTTGGATAAAATTCGTTCAATCAGGTCATTGAGATTGGTAGAAACATATTTAACCTAATGACAAGGGATGAAATACGATAACGAGTACAGAAAGAAAATCCCATGGGAACTCATCATGTGTTGAACGTATTAGAAGATATGGATCTTCTATCATGATTATGTTTTTGCAGATTTAATCTTTCTGGTACGAAGAAATTGCGACGCTCGATTGTAGGAGACTATCATAGCTCAATGTTCGATGTAGATGTGGGTCATGTATTCAATCAAGTGCGTACTCACGCTCAGGGTTACCAATGATAAGATTGCGTGAAGTTCGGAGGAGGGAGAGAAGGAAAGGCACGACCTCGCTAGACGTCGACTATTGTTGAAGAAGGAATCTGATCACAGTTGGTGTCATTTCTTCTCCCTCCCTCCACTGCGGTCCAAAGTTTTTACATCACGAAAATGAGAGTATCATCTGTCAAAAGTTTAGCCTCCACCACTCCTGAAAGCAATCTACAATTCTGCTCATGCTCGCTCCCACTTGCACTCTGTCAAATTCTTAAACACTAGAGTTAACTTTTTTATGGAACCAACATATATTTTTGAAGAAAACATTGAATGTAAGTTATAAGTCGAAGGTTTCCACGCTCTTCTTCATTACTCATGCATTACAGACCTTAGCGAATGGTTTCAAATATCATTCAGTATTCGAGCTTTTGTGAAATATGTGAGTTCCACAGTTCAGTCCTCAAGTTAACATACCTTTGTGTATTCTTTTGCCCATTCTAGATTTCGTGCTTTATGCGAATAATAGACATAGACAGCAGATAAATGCGGTAAATTATATATTTGTGGTACAATTTGTCGTCCATATGAGCCAGATAAAATTAATATAATATTTTCATTATCATGTATTTCAATAAATTCTTTGCAATCATTAATAACATTAAATGTTTTTAAATTTCTTAGTTTAGTTTTCAAGTGTTTTTCTACTGTTTTTGAACTTTCATTATTGGAATTTGCACTAGAATCAAGCCAAACATAGATCGGAGTGTTTTCTTGTTCCATAATATCCGTTATGATGAAAATTCTTTTTTCTATAAACGAAAGTACTAATCGAAATGGATTTAAAGAAAAAAAAACTAGAATGCATGTAACTTAAACTTCAAGTTTGAAAGTCCTAAGCGTTTGTAAATCGCTTATTTGTATAAAAGCTATGAGTGCAAGTCATGTAAGGTAGAAATGTGAAGCACAAATGTATCTATTGTTGCTAATAATATGGCAATAGTTTTATTCAATCTAGTTTGGGATATAGTTCTTCATCATGATTTACTTAATTGTCTAGAGCTGCAATAAGGAAGTTCTAATGACATGTTCATGATATAAAGTCTTTGAAAGCCGTCTGCAAGGGTGGAGCAAAATTCTACTACTTCAACACTCATTTTAGTTCGTGTTTTATAAAAATGAAATTGTTTTACTATAGTATTACCAAACATTTTCAAACTATATTTAGTTTTCTATTTGTTATCTACAAAAAAAAAACATGATTATTATACTCATTTTTATATGGAAAATAAAAAGATAATTTGGCAATTTTGGTCATTTTAACGCACACTGAGTATTTTCAAGCATCGTCTCTTAAAACATGACAGAAAAGTCTGAAACTCACATATTTATGATGTTTGCATCAGACTCTATCCGATGACATATGATTAATAACAAAGTTGTTTCAAGTCGAACTTTTCATTATAGGCATCTTCGGAATTCATGCAAACAATGGATGATGATAACACGTTTTAAAGCTTTTAAATGTGCGCCTTTTGATGTTGAAAACGATAAGAAAAGGACTTTTTTACTTTGACAACAACTATGTTGATGATATCATCATCTTCAATCTTATGTTTTTTCTCGGCGCAAAAAATGCTTGTTTTCAAAACATAAAAAAAACGCTTTTTATGACGTATACAACTACGTCTTGTTATCGACTTTATTTGAATGAGAAATTGTATTTATGATAAGAATGTGTGTAGGAAAAAAATGAAACTTTTAAAATGATGAAGTAACAATTATTTGTTCTCTTGCTTTTATGTTCTATAAGGCAATTGAAGTACGGTCGTATAATATCAATTTACTTGTAGAAACCACCAACATGCAACAGTTCACTACTATTACCTTGATCATCTGTTTACGAGTATATAATATAAGAATAAGCATGGAATATGAATAGGTGTGCGTGTTTGGATGACGATAATACCCACAACGTGAAAGCATATGGATACGTTAAAAAATCCCACCGATCGGTATGATCAGTTTTGAGTGTTACGATACATAAGCAATTCCACCACGCTCACACACTCTCAAGTACATATCATTTTTCAAGAGTGTTAGAATAAGATGGTACTGAAAATATTGCTCTTTCACATCAATAGTCTGTGTAAGTACTCCATTGAAATATTCTTGCGAACGGAACTTTATATTTATTTGATAGATATTCCAAATGAAAAGAAAGAAATTTATCGAATAGATAAGGAATAAGTCTGTGCTTCAATCAAATCGAACGCGCCACCATTCAAAATGGGAATAAAAATTGATTGTTCTGTAATTCTAAGACGAGTGATTGTTAATGTTTGTTTTTCTTGAAAATTTTTACTATTAAAAGAAAGTTGTTTTGGTGTCCATGCAAAACAATCAGTGCATTGAGATGTTTTCCATTGAATAGTAACAGTATCATTTCCATTAATTTCATGTGGAGGAGCCGAAAGCCAAACTTGAACTTTTGCACTTTGTTGTACACTTAGTCTTATTAATGTCGGATCGTATAAAACTCCGAGATCAACATCTCGACAAGCAACATACCACTCTTTTGGTATTGAGTCAAAATATTCGTCATCCGGTTTTCCTATAGATATAATTGTAAAATTTGTTATGACACGATTAGCTGAGAATGGTGAATGCTGAACTTCAGCTAATCGAAGTGGAATATCAGTATTTTTCTTAAAATAAATTTCTTGACATCGATATGTATTTCCAGTACTTGTTGAACATATTTCCTTTGAATATCAATAATCTTCATCGTTAGAAAAAATATTTGAATGAATCATTTCAGAATTAAAATTGACATAATTTCGTATTTTATATGAACTATCATTACCCCAATGTAATGGAAATTGATTGAGTCTATATGCACCATATTTCCAATATGTTTCATAGGAACAAAAATTTATTAGAGAAGTTGTAGCTAAGAAAACATAATGTTTTGATTGTGGCGAATCAGGAACTGCATATGGAAAGTTTTGCATAACGTAAGCACTGACTTTCATTAGAGCATTCACAGGATATGTTAAATAAGCTCGTTGATTTATTTCATCAATTGCAATTGTTGTTTTACCATCATCAGGTGAAAATACAATTTGAGATGGGAAATATGGTTGGGCACATTGTCCCAAATGATTACAAAGACTAAATAATAACAAACTCAACACAATTTTCATCATTTTAATATCTTAAAATCGACAATCAAAAATAACACAAAGTGTTTTTATTTGTTCATTAAAGTGATAATATATATATAGAAGAAAAAAAAACACTTATCATGACAGGATTAGTTGGTAAGAAAAACTGCATTGTAATATATTGTGATCCTTTTGTCATTAGATGCATTATCAAATAACATATATCATTCTTAAATGGCGTTTTTTATTTTTTATGGTCGGTCCGATCCAAATAATAGATATTAGGGTTTGAAAAGAAAGAATATTCGATGTTTTCTTTGATGCCTTGATCGTTCGATTTAAACGGTCGATTGTACAATTTGTTTAAACGTAAAGAGGAAATGCGTGAGCGAAAAAATTCTTCATACATTTTGCCGACTGACAAGAATTGACAATTTGTCTGTTCTTCAAATGCATTGCTTCTATAATGACATGCGTCACAGTTGACAATCTTACCAGTGAAAGCAAAGATTTTGTCTCAAATTGCGATCACCATAATGATATCGATAACTCGACGTTTTTTCGCGTTGATTTACCCATGGAAATGGTCGATTGCACAATTTCTTTCATTCGAAAAGGAGAAATGCATCCGTCAAAACTAAAACTTCCACTTATATTTTACTCGGTGGAACAGCAATTCTAATTCCATTGTCATCGATCTTCGATTTGATGGGTATTATGAGAAAGTATCTCATGAATTATGATTGACATTATGGAATTGACGTTCTTACGTGTTGCACGGTCAAGTGAAGTGGTTGATTGCACCATTGTCTTGGTTTGAAAAAGAGAAAAGCATTTAATGGCAATCGAGAATTCTACTACAGCCTAGTCACTAAAACAATACGAACAATTCGATCATGGATACTGTTATAATTCAAAAATAGATATACCACAGAAGTTGATTCAACGGTGACGTAGGTGTGGATCTGACTCCGGATGTAGGTAAGTGTGAGTGATCCGAGTCTCGTCTTGGCTTCATGTTATATCGATTTCTATTCTTCGATGCCAATAACACGTTCTCAATGGTTACCATGCTATTGCTTTCTGATGATGCTAAACTGTTCGAAAATGTTTTCTTTACACGTGTCGCTTGAGCTCTAGGTTTATCCTAAAACACTCAAAATATGCAATGAACTTAAATAACAAGAGAAAGCAACAACGACGACAAATAATATTAAGTTTACTTATTTAGCTACACTAACTCTATTCGATATTCATGTAGATTATACTAAACAATTTCTTTGTCGAACTCATCTTCCTTCTGTAATCGAACTTACCATGCATAAAGACATATTAATAGCGATAATTGCTCAAGATTAACAACAAGCAAGAGACCATAGTTCTAGAGTAGAAACCCTGAGAGCTTTTGAGGCAATTTATGATTTTCTAAACTTTTTTTCGTCAGGTTCCTATTTAAAACATTCGAAAGAATATGTGAAATGAAATGAATGATTTGTGTAAAACTATCAAGTACTTCTTGATAAGCTCTTGTTGCTCAATAGTCAATGAAATTGAAGTATTGTAAAGAACTATACTAGTTAAAATATAATAGCGCGGAAAACTAGTTTTCTTCTGTCAGATAAGTAGAGAAAGAAAATATCAATGTTATTGTTTATTTTATTGTTGATATAAGAATACTTTTAGTAACGTAAGACAAGAATCAATTACTTACTGTTGGTGACTGAAGTTTCAGTGAAAAAAGCGGTCGAATCTATAATGTTCTGTAGATATATTCATAAAATGTTTATCTGTCTCTTCTGAATGCAGTGAAAACTATTTTATATTATGGTTTTCAATAATTTATATTTTATCAGAGTACATTAATGATTTGAATATTTTCGCCTTGTCAAGTACTAGATGTGAGAAGATTAGCTATAGTTTGAATCATATTTTCATGTCACACTCACGAAACTATCAGAAGCCAAGAAACTCACAGAACCGAAAGATATTTGGCGTGGGTATTGATTCAGCACCCACAATCACAGCTCACCGATCCACACTCACACACATTATGTGATTTAGCAACAGGTTTGTTTTGCATTATCGAATTAATTGGTTAAATATGACAAAGTCTGTTGATATTGATGTTTTAAAAATGAATAAATCTTTAGAATATGTATATATATATATATGAACGTGGGCGCCATTCGAATACGAATATGTCAATATATAAGAAATAAGAACAGGAAGAAGATGACGAAATGTAAATGTTATTATGTCGAAAAAAAAGGTAGAACATGATAATGGTTTTTAAAAACCTTTGATCAAAAGTACAATTATTTGCATAATTAAATGCATATCCTAACTGAAAAATCCTACTTCAATTACAATATTTCCTAAAATGTAATGGCGAAGAAAAATATAGTTGATTGGTTACTTTATCGTATATATTAAATGTATCTTATTCAATATTATTATTTAAAAATTTTATATTTTCCACAGAGGTATTAAATATTATGACATAGGTAATGATTAATATTGCCTGTATTGATGTCTGTCGAAAGAAATAAGCAGTAAGGTTTGAGAATGAATCAAAATGACGTTATTCTTAATAAAATTCAAATCACAAATACGTTCTCTTTCTCATGCATATATTTTACATCATCAAATGACGTGTACATGAGTTTGGAAAAAAACCAATAATATGATTCATATTGCGTACTCTCTCACAATCTTGTTTTTCATCATGAATAAAAATGAAACTTTTCCTAAGGAAAAAAAAACTACTCTGGGACATTTTGAAGAAAAAAAATATTAGAAATGACAAAGAATACATATATATTATTACATTTAAACATTATTTGACCGTTGACATTATCTCCACCTATATCTTTTTATTAGACAAACATCACAAAGATCAGTACCTATTGTATTCGTTACTCTCATAAATAACAGACAGCAATAAAAAGAAGGTAAATAATACGATTCTTCGGCAGTTTAGTCACGCCTTTACACTGATTGGTACACTGAACGCAGCAACCAATGTGAGGGTGAGGGCGGGAGTGTGACTAATCTGCAGTAGTACCGTCAGGCTGAACGTCTGTCTAAAGCTACAGCTCGTGAACTGTTGTAGGGAAGATATCGGGCCATTGAATCGACCGTAGCCAACACTTCATACCGTAAAGTAACTGACAATCCTTGGCACACTTCAATGAATCTATACGATAGCATGTCCCAAAAGTTCGCCAGTCATCCCGATAATTCGAACTACATTGATATTTTTCTTTGAATTTCGTTTAGATTAATATTGATGGCTCGATCAAAAATAAATGAATATTTCAAAACCCAGATAGATGAATTAAGATTATTTGCCCGTGAAATTCATGAAACACCCATATTTAAGTTGGATACAACATCGTTTAACGAAGAAGATATGATTGATGATGTGGAATTGAAGGAACATGTTATAATTGGACGAATATTTCCTAATGCGGATATATTTAAAGAAGGTGCATTTCAAATTCAAATAAAAATACCTCCATACTATCCATTAAATCCACCGAAAGTATATTTTATAACTCCTATCTATCATCCTAGTGTTGGAAAAGATGGTAAGCAAAATATACATGTTGCCTTAAAGAATACATATATATTTTTTCAGGTGAATTTTATCATGAGTTATTATTAAAAACTGCCCAATGGACTTATAAAACGTCATTGCTAGATGTTGTCAAAGCTATTGTAGAACGTATCAATGAAACTGATTTATACTATTCAATAAATTATGGTCTATTCTTTGTTTTTTAAACAGTTATCAATTTTCATCAGCAATGTTTTTCGATTTTATTTTAGAAGTAGTTCAAGAATATGCAAAAAACCGAAGTGAATTCAATCGTAAAGCGTTGGAAATGGTCAAGAAACATGCATTACCACGAAATTAAATTCACCGTTGTTTTATTTTCTGTTTCTTTTCTTGCATGAATAAATAACACAGAACAAATCTTTCTTAATAATTTTATTGAGTTTTAGATTACCTGAAATCTTTAGGTTAATTTTTATATTGAGTATTTTAAGGAATACGACAGCTAAAATCAATGATTGATTGGATAAGCAACTTTTTCAATTTAGATATTTTACTGCAGTGCAATAAATTTTAGGACAAATTTAATATTTTATTAGTTTTTCCTTGTTCAATATTCAGTAAGAACTTGTTTTGTATATCATTCATTTTAAATGATATTAATTCATAGTTAAAGAAATTACTTGAATTGTCTATGAAATATAAAACCATTACATCAACTGAAGGATGCAGCGCATAGATGACATTCGAGTCTCATTCGAAAATCTAAAAACTGCTCTATAAAATACACAATTTTCCACATTATTGTAGTCAAATTTGTTAACCTGATTACTATTCTCTTCAAACGAATCATCTCGATACAATAAATACTCAGCTTTCAACGCTCTATAGAATCCATTCAATTATAGATCGAATGGTATATAGAAAAGTTTTAGATATTTTTTTCATAGGAAAAATTAATACAAAATATAACGAGGAAATCTTTCCAAATATGGAAGCACTTTTCGATATTTATTTGATGAGTACTAATGAATAATAAAAAAAAGTCTTGAATGGGTTTTTTCAATAAAAAGCAGTGATTACCCTCAGGTCACATGAAAAATCGACTTTTAACTTCAAACTTTGTATTGTAGAAAAATTTTCAGAACTTTATGACATTACGTTTCCGAGGTATTAATTTTTCAAAACATCTACACTTATTACCAATAGTGAAAACCATAAGTATTTTGAAAAATTCATATCTCGAAGAGACATTGTCAAAAAGTTTTGAAGGCATAGTTTAAAATCAAAATTTGAAAGTATGATATTGCTTGAAAACATGTGTGCTGCAAAAAAATTCACTAAAATTTAGATATTTTACCAATAAAGCCTCAATAGTACGAACCACTTCAAGGTATTTTCCTACTCATTAGGCACTTCAAATGAACATAGTACCAACTTAAAATCCATGTGATACGTGGAGATACTTCCTTCTAAGTTAAAGCTATGTAGCAAAAGATATACACCCATTTGATTTTTCACTTGATAAATTGTTATTTAATATCACTGAAGAAATGATTGATGATAGCTGCATGTGAAGAAAAAAAAGCTTTGAATCTGTTTCATAGCTGTTATGAGTCTAGTTCAACATCTATTCTTCAACTCATTTATTGAAGTAAAAGTTATTATTAGAAATCAAAACGACAATTTGAACCGTGTGGAGTTTGAAAATGACACAAGAATTTCATATACAAAATTCATTGTGCTATTTCATTACAAGAAGCCTTACGATAGTTTCTTAAAGTTTTAATCACTTAAAAGTATCAAATTTCAGAAGTAACTATGTGAGAAACAACATCATCGAGTCCTTAAATGTTATCTAAAGGGTAGAAATTTGATATTACTGAAAATTCTACGAATGAATCAGCAAATTACCTAACGGTTTTGGATCTACAAGCTGAACTCTATAAAACTGTACACTTCATATTGCTATCAGTAGTTTCATCGATCTTTGACAATACACACATCTATGATTAAAAATAAAATTATTCGATTGAATTTAATTAATTTATTTTAAATTGAAAAAAATTAAAAATTAACTATTGTATAGATCATATCAAAAAAAAATCTGATTAAAAAAAATTGAGAGAAATTTATAAAATAAAATAATTAACTAAAAACGAAAATAAAATTAAAAATGATATAGAATGATGATAGTTAACATTTGATTTTCCAAAAAGTTTTTTATCCCATTCTTTTCTTAAAACTTGTCGTGCTAATTGACATTCACGTGCTTCCCAATTATCACTACACATCATTAAAATTAATTCTTCTGGATCATCTTTACATAAATATTCAATTTGATAACTTTGAACAAGAGTTTCTAAATAAATTAAACTTTTTTCACCACATTTTTCACTAGAAAAATAAACGTAATAAAAAAAATTATAAAATAATCTTTTATTTAACTTACACTACTTGTTGATCAGGTGAATGTAAAAGTAAAACATTTAATTTTGTAACTCGAAAAATACCAGTTCGTTGAAGATTTGGTAATTCATATTTTGCAAAATATGAATTATTACGAAATGATAATTGACCATCAGTTCGACTTCCATTTAAAACAAGATAAACTTCACCAACAGCTTTTTCAGCAAACTAAATATCAAAAATTAATTAATTAATTAATTCTATTTTTAATTTTCCTTTTTTTTTTTTACATTTTTTGATGCAATTCCCCAAAAAGCATCATCAGCCCAAATATTATCTTTACAATTATATGGACAACTGATATAATCAAAACCTTCAGTATCATTATCTTTTCCACACCATCTTAAACCATTAACTGTAGTTGCTGCTAATGTATCTTCTAATGTAATATAATTAAAACCATGATTACCATAACTATGAGCTATGGAATATGTACCACTCCAAAACATTGCCTTTTATATAGAAAAACAATCATTATTTTACTTTTTTTTTTTTTTTATTAAAATTATCTTTACTCTATTAATAATTTGTATACCATCAAGTGCATATTGAAAATAATTTTCATATGTACTCAAATTCATACTACAATATGGTTTATAACGAACAGCAGTTTCAAATAATTCATAAAGTTTTGTACAATTTTTTATTTCACTAAAGACAAAAAAAAATAAGAAAAGAAAAATTAGATATAAAAAAATATTCTTATTTACGTTCTATTTGATAAATGAAGACTACGTTTTATATATTGATATTCATAACAACGACCAATTATTATATCTTTGAGATTACATGTTGTTCCATTTGTTTTTATATATGAACCACTACAAGGATTTATCTCATCTATGTTTGATAATACTTTTAATTCATGTTGTTCATTATTAATATTTCGAGTTGATTGATGAAATAGTTGATTATTATCATGATAAATACGATTTAAATTAGGGGCTTCAAGATGAACCTGAGACATGTGTTGGTTTACAGTTAATGGCGAACCATCAATATTCGTTGTAACTAACGCCAGATATAAGACGACTAAAACAATGTGATGAACAATATATCAATGCATTTTTATTCAATACTATTTGATATACGTACCATACAATCGATAATGATACATTGATGTATTGCCACACTGATGTATTATCTATAAACATAAAATAAATGTTTGAAAATGATTAGATATTATTCTCATGTAGAAAAACTAGTACAGTTGTATATAACTGTAATTATCTTTGAGAAGACGGCTAATTATTATCGTATTTCGGATACATATGATCATAATAATTCATCTAATCCAGAGTAAGATAGCTCTTAGGGATTAGAGAGAAAAAGAAAAATTTTACAAAATATATCATAACTAAAATATAAAACTTTCTGCGTCTAACACAATGAAACATATATATATATGCTATTCTGTTATTACGAAAGGTGAAGACATGACGATATAAGATCAATGATAACAAAATGTTTGTTTTCTTTTTTGTTCTTGTCTTATCAGAGTAGGTCCAAAAAAAATGTGAGTCTCCTTTTCAATCGACCAGCTTGCAGAATTTGATGACACAAATATCCACTTCACCATCGACTATTTGTGAGATATTCAGTAGATCTTAAACTGAGAAAAGTAACTATAAACTGTCATTTCGGCAATAGGTGTGCATAATAGTGAAAAGAAGGCCTAAACTCACATCCAAATGACGCAGCAATCATTACTATTTAGGGCATACCAAAGGTACGGACAGTGACACTTTAATACTATATATTAAGTTTCAAAAAATTTTCTGTCTATGTAGTCTGATAGAGAAAAGAATGCTCTAGTTTCCTATGCTATTTGATCATACTTCAATTAATATCAGAATAATAAAATTTCGATAAGATCTATTTCGTTACTATATGTGCTGGTTGTATTAATACTCATTTGAAAAAATACGAGTGAGTATTTTTTTGAATAACTTTTAATAGAAACAAGATAGAGAACTGCGGTTTTAACCGTTGAAAAGAGGAGATGAAGATGCATCGAATCATGCATTATAGATTTTCTTGATCTGTTTTGTGTAAGGTTTTCAATTGACCTTCTAAGAACAAACATATCTGGTAAGTTGTTTACAGTGAATTTTCAATTATCAAGTGTAAATTCAACCTACTAGTCGAAGATCTACAAAGTGCGGAAGGCTGAGATGAATAATATGCATTCTAGTGGCGCTTCTAATACGATTTTCTAGCAAAAACTGCGAAACAAACTCACTTTTGGAGTTTTTCCCTGTTTTCATGAATAAAACATTTTCCCAACGCTTAGAAAATTGAATAAAAAATACTTCAGAAATGAATATTAGAAAAACCTATAATATATGATTCGATGCATCTTCATTTCCTCTTTCCAACGGTGAAAATCGCAGCTCTCTATCTTGTTTCTATCAAAAAGTTATTCAAAAAAAAGACTTACTAGCATTCATGGAATCATGACACATGTGAACAAAACAGATTTTATCCAAGTTTTATTATTCTGATATTAGTTGAAGTATGATCAAACAGCATAGAAAACTAGAGCATTCTTTTCTCTATCAGACGACATAGAAAGAAAATTTCTTGAAGCTCAATATACAGTATTAAAGTATTACTACCCGTACTTTTGGTATGCCCTAAGTATTTTCAATAAGCAATTTGGCCACTGTTACAGAAATGAAAATGAAATCAGTACCTAAAAATAAAACAAAGCGTATGCCCCAGCTTTTTGCTTCACTACATGTCTATCGAGTTCTTGATGAAGATGAGAATTAAGAATAACTCTCTTCACAACACCCTGTGGAGAAAAATGAACATCCACTTGACTTGAATAATCAGAAATAAACCTTGATATGCTGTATCATCGTTGTTTCTACCGCAAACCATTGTGCCCAGTTTATTACAGTTCTGCTATTGAAAATAAGAAAAGGAACAGATTCGTGCCACCACATATTAAATAATTAACTATCTGTCTGTTTCTAACAAGCCACCTAACTATCTATTTGCTCACCTACATATCAGTCTATTTTCTCCTATCAGAGTACAACAAATACACGAAAGACGATGTGTCATAAGAGTGATAATGAGAAAATACAAAGCAGCAGGTATTCCACGGAAAAATTTAAATAGAATGCGTGTGAAACAGATGAGTTACAAAAAAAGAACATGAAAACGAATTACTCAAGTCACATAATAAGAGAAAGAGTGAGCATAATGTTCTATGACTTTTTTTACTTTCTATTCTAGATGTGAATGTGGGTCTGTTTTGAATGAAGATTGAAACCCACTACATCTGCATTCCCATATGAACGAATTGAATTCGAAATTTAGACAACATTCAACAAAATACATGTTAAAACTCGTCGAGAGAAAAGACGGAGTGCTAAGAAGTTTATTGAACGATTAAATTAATGTGTATGACAGGTTAATATGATGGTTAAAAGGATGAAACAAAGAACAAAAGTGATTGTTGTCGCTGTCTGTAGTATCATCGTGTATACATTATTGTTAGAAGAAAGGAAATGACGTATTGAACGAAATTCAAACATTTTCAATATCATAAAAATTCAGTACGAACATATCCACTATAAAAACTGTTATAATTGTGATATATTCATTTATTTAGCATTTTTTTAAATTACTTTAAGCTGTCTAGCAATATTCCATAAATTTATAACAGTCACAATTTGTGAGTTTGACATTGTAATTCTTCATGAAACGACACATTATTAGATCCTACTAGGAAAGCTGTTAGATCAAACAAGATTTCTAATAATCAGACACTTTTCTATTCATTAATTTTCGACTATTACAACATATCAGTATCTTAAAAGTATAGAATTCACAATTTGCTGCTCAATACAGCAAAGTTTTTATATACCATTATGAAATACAATCATTGTATAAACTAGGTAGTCGATTTTGTTATTAGAATCTTTTTCAGAAATTCAGCGATCATCAAGGAAGAGTATAGAATTCACACAACTACTTTAAAAAGTTCAAGTAAATATTTAAAATGCAAAAACAAAGGGTGTCCTCTCCCAAAGATAGATCAATCATACTTCGTTTTTATATAAAAAAAAAAGAAATAGCAGTATAACTTCTTTTTCTTAAATATTAATTTTTTAATAATGTTTATCATAACTTTGTATAATTTAAATAAATAGCGATGAGTGTAGCGATAGTATACTAATCAAATATATGTTTTTGTTTTTGTTTTTTATTTGTGGGAGACTTCTGTCGACATTCGTTATTTGCACAATTATTTGTTTTTTGGTGAAAAATCCAACAGAACATTTTTTTTGTTTTTTTCTCTTTCCACTTAAATTTTGCTGTTCTATTTTACCCATTTGCATTAGTCAAATTCGTTTGTTCTTTCATCATACACAGCAAAAAAAAGTAAGTTTTTATTATGACGTCTTGCTTTACAATTACTCATGTTTTATTTTGAAAATTCCACTTTTACACAATCAGCTGAAAATTTCTCAATGAATAGTATAGATGAGCAAATATATAGAGATCAATGTTTTGAAAAAAAACTCATGAATAAAATTCATTGAAAACATAAAAAATAGACGAATGATTATTAATAGATATTTATATTTTTGTTTTAGATCAAGAAATTAGAAATGGCATCACCACACTCCCTCCGTATATTAAAGGAAATAGAAAAATTACGAAACTTAGCAGCAGATACAAATCCATCATCAACAAAATTTATTCTTGATACAACGCCAGTGGAAAATCCAGGATCAAATATAATTCTTGGAAGAATTTTACCTAAATCACAACCTTATAATCAAGCTGCCTTTCAAATAGAAATCAAATTACCAACTGATTTTCCATTTAAGGCACCTGACGTTCGTTTTATTACATCTATTTATCATCCAAATGTTGGTGAGGATGGTAAAATATGTCTTGAAATACTCAATTCTAGTGGAACTTTCAAACCAACAACAACATTAGTTGATATTGTTAAAGCTGTTGTTGAACGTGTTGATAATCCAAGTGTTGAACATGCACTTCAAGCAGGTATTTATTTTAAAAATTTTTATTAATTATTTTTTTAAAATAAATTTTTTTTGTTTTAAAGAAATTGGCGCTGAATATTCACAAAATAGAACTGCATTTGATCGTAAAGCATTAGAAATGGTTAAAAAACATGGTTTACCACGAAACTAGGCTTAAATATTTTTAATTATCATAGACTTCGATATTTTAATATTATTTTTTTAACTATAAATAAGAAATTATGTGAAGTCATCATTCTATTTTTATTATTCTGTAATAAGAAAAATAAAATAATGACAAATACAAAGGAAATACGCCATACGATGTTTTCTTCTATTGTTTGCTGACACAAAAAAGATGATTTTTGTTATTCTTATTTTTTAAAATTTTTACATTGTCGATGAGATTAGAGTTAATAGGGTTTGTACATATCCACATCCAAGAACTTTAGACTTGACGATCTCTGGACAAGGCTCATTTGGTTTTTCGAGCATTCATTCTTTAGAAAACGAAGTTTTATTATTTTATTTAACAAAGCTGTGATTTGCTTCAAGTCATATAGAAAATTGATTTTTAAGTTTTGATTTCAAACTTTGCATGAACAAAGTTCTCTATTAGATTAGTTCGTTTGATAACTTGTAATTCTTCTAGTGTCCCTTATGCTGAGATATTCGATATTCCAAATTATATAATATATAAAAGTAAATTTTATTCTTTTACATTCAGTGATCAAAACCTTCTCGTAATCACAGTCTGATATTTTCAACTTTATTGTTTTTATTCTAATAGAGACATTTGTTATACATTAAATTAGTTTTACAAGTATGTATTACTGTGAATTCTTAATGAATTATTTCTCGACTTTTATGATCCAATGGAACAATTGAGAATACGCTTATGTATAAAAGTTAAGATCAACGACATAGTAGTGAAAAGACAATCATTCAAAGAAAAACAAAAACAATGATTTTCCGCTTTTTTTTTAATATAATTACCTTTTGGAATATGAATAAATGCTGCAAAAAAATTAGTTTAAAAGTTGCCCAAAGACAAGTCTATCATCAACAAGATGTAATATTAAGTTATATTATCTTAATACACTGGGCACATATGGATAATATGGTATTTAATTACCTTTAAGAAGGAAAAATGAAACTTATGTCTCATATGCTTCAAACGTAAATCTAGCTTTCACTTAGATGCTATGAATTTATCGACAGTAATAACTAAGGAGCTTGATTCAGTATTTATTCACAAATATTAAAATACATTCCAGTAGTGAATTCAATGTAGAACACTTTGTATAACACATCATGAAAACTACTTTGTGCATTTACTATAAACAAATTATCAAAATGTTTTTTTTTCTCAATGAAATGATATTTGAAAGTGCACAAACATTTTGATTATGATGTATATTTATATCTACTAAGAAGTACTTCTCTATTATTTTCTATTGGGTATGAAATAAACATTGAAAAGCGATTTGAAACATGAAGAAATATCCTCATTATTTTTGTATAGCTTCTTCTTTTGACTATTGAAAACTATTTACAAAGTAAAACAGTGTGTTAAAGTTTTATTCTCTAATTTATTCGATTGTTTGATAATAATATTAAATTCTTGTAGGAAAAAACCATCGCTTACTTGATATATGATAAATTGAATGACGAAGTCAGAGGTTTGTCAAGATAAAAACTATTTCCTATGAAAAATTATGAAACATATTTGTCTTTGTTATAGCAATGAATTAATACTAGGTTTGAAAGAAGTTAAATTTAATAAACTAAAGAACTATTCAAGACTTCTTTTGAAAGAAACTCTTCTTAGATATCAGTACTTCAGTTTGAAATTATTACTAAAATGTAACATTCCTATTCTACTGTGATACAGAGGAAAATTATCTAAGCATATGATTGTAATAATCAAAAATATTAATTCGATGTTTGTTTTATTTTTAGAAAAATATAAATATCTGTACGTATGAAAACGAATTACAAATAACAAAATGTACTTTTTTTCTTTATTTCCTATTTAAACACAAAATACACAACGATGCAACGTCGACAATCATGACATTATGATTCTGATTAGTTGTTCTTTTCCAATATATATATATATCGCAGTTTTAAATCTTGCAAAAAAAAACGTTATTAAAATTAGTTTACATCGACAAAAACAATTAATGAAAATATTCAAAAGAAAATTTGTTCACGTTATATATTAATCAATGTGAAAATAAGTCAATACTTTTATGAGAATAAATTGAAAGTTAGTAAGAATAAATATAAAAAATAATGATTCATGAATTTATGTAAAAAAAGATAAGTATGTTTTTTTCTTCTACCCTCTCTCTCTCTTGTTGATTCATTAAAGTTGGAAAAAAAATCTATATGAATTTAATTTCTACTCTCCATTTGTCGTTGTTTTTTTTTGGTTGTCTTAATATTGATAAATGTTTTTCATATAGAATTACGTAGCAACACGTCAGATACTCATTTAAGTTTCTAGTTGATAAATTACTATTTGATAAAGATGATGAAATGATTGATGCTATGATAATCAAAGAATTTATTATTATTAAAATGAATATTTCTAATATCTAATACTTAATTGAAATAAAGCTAAAATTACCTTTTCTAATTAATACGCCTTAAGTTCTTACTATGTTCTATTTTTTAATATAAAAAAAAAAAATGGTAATAACGAACAATATAATGTTAATAAGAAATGTAAAGATGTCCTTGAGGCTATCCATTAACTAATGTTTGAGAAAAATGCTGAAAGAAAGATTAAATGAGAGAATGTCGGGTGTACTTATATGTCTGAAATCAATGGTCTAAATAGAACTATTTGAAGAATGATATATTTCTCACCTTTGATTTATTAATTAATGACATCTATCATGCTTCAACTATAGTTCTCATGCATCATTTATTTATTTTTTTTCTACCAAGTAAATGCTTTTTTTTTTGTAAGTTTAAATCGAGATTTTTTTTTTAAAGCTCTCGTTTTCCTGACGAAAAATAACATTCATTGGTTAAATCATTCTGAAACTTTTTAGAATCCTTCAAAATATTTAAATGAATCTCAAATCTCTAGTATAGATTCTAACTAATCTAAATCTTTCGTGTTTAGATATTTAATATAGTGAAAGGATCTTATTTTGAGATAATTAGAAAAACATAATAAAATAAACGTCAAAGTTCATCGAAAAAAAAAATAATGTGCTCACAAGCCTACTCAAAGATTAAAGTAATATGACTAGCAGATTAATATAATCATTGAACCGATGATACGAAGAATAAAATGATATTTCTCATATACTATAACCTTTATTGAATCTATTATCATTAGGAGAAAAAAAACAACTATAATTATTTTCAAAATAATCAAAAATTTCAGAGTACATGTATTAATTATAAAAATTGTTTTGACCTCTCGGACCATCTCCTATAAATTTTGTAACAGTCAAAGTTTATGAATTCCATAGTTAGTTGTTTTTGTTCTAAAAATATCTTCAAAAGGAAATGTTCGACTGTCATCATCTAGTTAGATCAGATAAGATCTTTAACAATCAAACATTTTCTATTTATTTGTTTTTGACTTGTAGAAAATGTCAATATCTTAAAAATAACAAAGTTCTTTTTTTTATCTCATTATCGATCAACGAATTTGTACGATTACTTGAGAAAGTTTATTTAATTCTATCGTCAGAAAGATTCCAAAAATCCTAAGAAAGTTATTGAATACTCGTATAAACGAATAAAATATTATAAAAACGTAGGAGAGGTATGACTTCCTACATATACACCCGATACAAACCCACTAAGTCTATCTATCTAATGTAAAGATTCAGTGTTTTATTTATTTTGATAAAAAAAAAAAAAACAAAACAAAAGATGTTGTGAAAGAATAGAACAAAAAGAAATTGCAGTACAACTTTCTTTTTTTTTTTTTGCTCAAATATTAATAATTTAGGTAATATTTATCATGATGATCGAATGTTTTAATAGAGATAGCGACGAATGTAGCGACACTATTTTATTGAAGTCAATGTTGATTATTTCATTGGTTAATGTGTACTGGTCGTCATTCGTTACTTGCACAATTATTTGTTATTTAGTGAAAAATCCAACAAAATTATTATTTTTGTTTTTCTTTTCTCTCTATATAAATTTCGCTGTTGTATTTTACCTATCGATATTAGTCAAATTCATTTTTTTCTCTCGTCATATTTACCAAAAAGTAAGGAGATATTATTTTTCATATTTCATTTAAAAAAAAAAATTTCTTTGTACAATCAATTAAAATATATTAATTAATAAATACAAATATTCAAATATGTATTAAAGAGTTTAATTTTTTGAGGAAAAAAAGAACATTTATTATAGAGATTCGTAGAAAAAAAATTAATGAATGATTATTAATATTTTTTTTTTTGTTTTTTGCAGATCAAAAAATTAAAAATGGCAGGAACAAATTCAAAACGTATATTAGCTGAAATAACAAAATTACAAAGCTTAGCAACAGAAAATAATCCATCATCCGTTCAATTTCTTCTTGATAAAACACCTATGGATAATCCAGGATCAAATATAATTCTTGGAAGAATTTTACCTAAATCACAACCTTATAATCAAGTTGCATTTCAAATAGAAATGAAATTACCAATTGAGTATCCATTTAAACCACCTGAAGTTCGTTTTATTACACCTATTTATCATCCAAATGTTAGTGAAGATGGTAAAATATGTGTTGAAATACTTAATTCAGGAGAAAGTTTTAAACCAACAACAACATTAGTTGATATTGTTAAAGCTGTTGTTGAACGTGTTGATAATCCAAGTGTTGATCATGCACTTAAACCAGGTTAATTTTGAAAAATTTTTATTAATTCTTTTTTTAAAATTCTTTTTTTTTTTGTTTTAAAGAAATTGGCGCTGAATATTCACAAAATAGAACTGCATTTGATCGTAAAGCATTAGATATGGTTAAAAAACATGGTTTATCACGACACTAATCTTAAATATTTTTAATTGTCATAGACATCAATTTTTTTATAATATAATTTTTGTGCTATAACAAAAAACCAATTATTATTTCATGTTAATTTATGAGAAAGATATTTATCTGTATTTCCTCTGCTTGTGTTGTTTTGCTTATATGCAAATCAGAGATCAGTATTCTATTTTTACTGTTCTATATTAAGAAAAATTAATAAACATTAAAAAAAAAAAAAAAGCAAATACGTCCTATGACGTTTTCATGTTTTCTTGTATTGTTTGTTGATAAAAGATGAATTTTGCTTTTCTTTTTAAAATTCTTGCGTGATTGTCTAGATTAGAACTATTAAGTTGAACCCAGAACTGTACAAAGCCGATTTTGGATTTGAAAATTTTCTGATAATTGAGTCCAGATGCAAAAAGTTTTATACCTGATAGACTTCAGTCGTCTAAGCAATTTATAGGAGTTCTAGTCACCGAACACAACAAATTCAAAAATGATGTCTCGTATTTGGGAAGCGATTAGCTGGTTCTGAAAGCTTTTCAATCAATTGAATCTACGTCCGTGAATTTTGAACATGATGAACTCTAGACAACGAGATCTCTTCAGATGTCAAATTACTTTTTGATTTTTACTCGATGAGTAATAGAAAAGTCTAGAATGATTTGATTTCAAGGACATTTATTCTCTAGATGTAGTTCTTAATAACAAGTTGACAACTACTAAACTCAATTTTGCGACTTCAAAATTTCCATGAATAAAGTTCTTAATCAGATTAGTTTATTGTAACAACTAATATTTCCTTGTTAGAGATGTAAATATATGAACAAAATTTGCTATTGTATATAAATGAGTTTCGAATATTGAATATCGAAGGATAGAAGATACGAGTAATGTTTGAAGTCGGAAAAAATAATATAAGACTTCTATTAATCATCAAATGAACATTGAAAAATCTTTGATAACTAAAGAAATCTTTTGTGAGTAAAGATTTATATAAAAATTCGAATAAATGGTCAATTTTCTAAGTATTAATTTATTGTTTTTTTTTATGAAAGTTTTAAATGTTCTATAGAGTTTTCTTTTTGAGTCAATTCTGAATCTGTTAGTAATGCAATAGAAAACGGAAAAATAAATCAATTGGTAGTATGATAGTTAATTTAGAAATTTAACATATGATCAGTAAAGATAATTATTAAATATACCTATTTTGTGGTTACTACATCTCTTAAACTGTATAGAAATTCATTGGATTATTTTTCATTGAAAATTCATAAAATTAAAAATAAAAACTAATGTTTGTTTTTTTTTTATAGATGGTATCAAAACATATACGTTTATTAAAAGATCTTGCACATATTGATGAATCATTTCAATCAAATCATCTTTTTTCAATAAAGAAAAAACTCGATGCATCAACATGTGATGCTATTCATGAAACTGATTTAACACATCCAATATTTATTTATACACCACAACAATCACCTTATATTGGTGGTGAATTTGAAATTGAAATAAATTTACCACTTGATTATCCATCAACAATACCTCGTGTTAAATTTCGTACACCTATTTATAGTCCTATTGTTGATGAATCAGGTACATTAACATGTTTACCTATACTTCAACGTTGGCAATTACATTCAATAAATTCAATTGGTTTATATGATATACTAACTGAAATTGATTATTATATAACACATTTAGAAGATGTTGATGAACCTCATCGACCAGCATTACTTACTGAATGGAAAGAAGATCTTTCATTATTTACTAAATTAGCTGAACAACAAACAAAAGAATTAGCTAAATTACAAAAACGATAAAAAAAAAAAGTCAAACAAATTTTATTTTACTTTTTTTCTTTTCAATTCTAGTCAATAGTCATATTGTTGTTGTTGTTTTATTTTTACTTGTTTAATGTTGTATTATATTTTATATATGATATATTTCTAGATGAATGAACAAATGACAAATGCCACTGCTGCGTGGCGTGTTTTTGATGATATTACATATAAGTATGAAGAGATTTTTCTTTTTCAACTTTTTGTTTCCTATGAACCCAACAAGAGAACTATTGAGAGCATTTTTTTTTCTTTTTATTTTATAGAAAAATGGAAACAAGTACAATTGCTGATTATTCATCTCAATTTCGAGATCCTAATAGTTCAACTGGTGCAACAATTAAACCGTTTGTTGCTATGGCTCCATGTGGAGGACCTATTGGTAAGTATTAACTTAACAACTTTTATTCATTTGATTGCATGAAAAAAAAATATATATATATATTATTTAAATAGCTTTTGTATATAAAAGACTTGGAATAGGACCAAATGATGTTAAATATACAATTATTATACAAAATTTACCTAAACATAATGTTAAATTAAAAGAAGTTAGATAATATAATTTTTATATATTTTATTATCTAAATAATGTTTTAGTTTGATCGAGGTATACTTATACTTGTTGATTGGACAATTAATGAAGATTTATTATTGGTAACTGAAGATGGTAAATATCATATTATTGATATATTTCATTATAATACAAGTAATGATAAAACAATTACACTTAGTGAGGTAAGTATTATTATCATTGAATGACTCGAAACGAAACAAAAAAAAACATATATGCAACATGAAGAGTTCACTAATACATAAAAAAAGTTCTGTTAAAACGATATTATGATGATTAATAATCTATAGGTTTTCATCATATGATTTTCTGAGTCAGAAAATTTGAATATGATTCATCGAAATTCAATAGAATAATAGATTTATTTTCTAAACGATTGCAAAAATTTAATATTTCTTTTTTTTTGAAATTCATTATTGAGTGTAATTGTTATATATTGCTAGTTACTTATCTTTTATAGATGATTCGAATTTGAAAATGAACTATTAGAAAAGATTGTTTAATTTTAATTAGCTTAAAAGTATCTTTAAAACAAAAAATTCGAATTAACAAACATTACACCCATTGAGAATCAAATCTTTAATTCTCATATGATTATTTGGTGTTCGAACAAATACCAATCAGTTTAACTATAATGTTTTAAATACATAACAAGAGATTGAACTTCGTCCTTTTATAATATACCTGAAAGAAGAGTAATAGAGTTTACTGATAACAACTGTCTGTGATAGTTAGTCATTGTTGAGTCATTATAGTAGTCCAAAGTACACAAGAACTCTGGATTTGTAATATATTGTTGTAAGCATTTTGAAAATAAACAATTAAATAAATTAATAATACATAACTGTTTCTATTTCTGAGTAATATTGAATGTTCTAAACACAGGAAATCTTTCTTAGAGTGTACAAATCGTTTGTTTTTATTCTAAATCCAAATTGAAATTTTTGAAAGAAGAATGAAATCGATATTTTCTAATTACCTATGCTTTATCTAAATGCAAGTCAATGAAATTTCTATGTAGTGGCGTATCCAGGATTTTTCGGTATGCTGAATTTCAACTTCAGAGCATGGGACCCAGATGAAACTTACAGAGATATGATATTGGGCCCAAATGATGAGTTTTTATCAAAATATTTTTGTAATGGGAGTTTGCGAAAAAAAATTAGCATTTTCCTGAGCCCCACCAAGATTTTTCTTTTTCTATTAGTAGTATCTTGATTTTTAGAATTTAATAGTAGGCTGCATCGAAATTCATCGACAGATTTCAAATTTCATCTAAAAATATGCATCCGTTCACGAGTTATAATGTTTTGGAAATTTTCTGCATGCTGAAAAAGTTTTAGAAAAAATTCAAAACATTGTAACTCGTGAACGGATGCATATTTTTAGATGAAATTTGAAATCTGTCGATGAATTTCGATGTAGCTTACTATTAACTTCTAAAAATCAAGATACTACTAATAGAAAAAGAAAAATCTTGGTGGGACTCAGGAAAATGCTAATTTTTTTCGTAAACTTCCATTACAAAAATCTTTTGATAAAAACTCTTCATTTGGGTCCCATGCTCTGAAGTTGAAATCCAGCATACCGAAAAATCCTGGATACGCCACTAATTTCTACCTATAATAAAAGTTTCAAATAATTTTGATTTTATTATTAACAAGAAATAAATGTTAAAATCAGAGCTAGACATAAGACATAACAGAAAAATTTTGTCCTATGCCCAATTTTGATTATAAAATATTTTTAAAAAAAAACATGAAATTCTCTGCTATATATAAATTAAAGATTCTGAAATTGAAAATGTTTCAAGATAATAATCATATATAATTAATTATTTCGGTTGTAAATAATCTCAATGTTTTTGTTTTTTTGTAAATTTTAGTCTGTATCAACAATAAGCAGTGCATGTACATTCAAAACAAATTCAGGAACAGGATTAGTAGCATTACGAAAAAATCAAGAAGGTTTTGTAGCAGTAAAAAATGTTTATATTCCAATTATTCAAACAATATCACTCAGTAAAAATTTCTTAATCTATTTTATTTTTCAAATCATAATTTTATTCTTCTTTGTTTTTTTTTGTTTTTCAATATTTATAGGTCTAGCTGCTCTTACAATAATATCAGCATGGTGTGTCATTGATCATGCTGATATAACAATTGCTTATGCTTATGAAAATAATATAGCAACATGTAGTGCGACATCATCAAGACGAGATACAGTATTAAAATTTTCTTTTTTATTTTTATTTATCGTAATTTTCTTAGCAAACTATTCCTGGTATAACTGATACAATTATTAAATTAGTATCAAGTAGTAATTATAAAAATATTGCTATGTTAAAAAATAATGGTGATGTATTAATTGGATCAAAAGATAATTTTGGACAACCACAAGTATTTACATTAAAATATACAAGTAATAATGATCCAAATAAAATAACTGATATTATTTGGTAAGATAAAAAAACAAAAATCAAATATTTCAATATTAAAATTATTTAAAAGGTGTGCATCAGATACTGTTATTGGTATTCGATCAAGTTCAAGAACTTGGTTTGATTTACTTATTATTAATGGAAAACATTCACAACCAATGACGTTTGTATTATTTTGTTTTGCCTTGTTATTTTAATGTTTTGTTTTGTAGTGAAAAAAGTCGACAAGCAATTACTAATGATACGTTAGTATTAGAATATTCTTTTATTATTTATAATAGAAAAGAATTCAATAGATTTAAATTTCATCTTATCACAAAGGTTGGAGGATGAGTTTGATGAAAAGAAGAGTAATATTTTTTACTGTTACCTAAATAAAAAAAAAATATGAAAACGATGCATTTGCATTGGTAAACTATCTCTATGAATTGATTCGAGGTTCGACAATTTTCAATCCAATGAGCGTCAGTAGATATGAATAGTTATAGCTGTGCGTTACTCTATTTCAACATGATGAATATGATCTTCGAAGTATATTGACAAATATATGTTTTCCCTTTTAATTTAGTCTTTGTTATACATCACCTGTATGGTTATCAACTGAAATCGATGGTATTCGAATAATATCTGGTCGAACACTTGATTTTTTTCAACGTTTACCAGATGAAGTTTTTAATGTTTTTGATCTTCTATCGAGTACTCCAGGTGCAAAACTTTATTCAGCTTATATGGATTATAAAGTAAAGATATATTTAATTAATTTGTATTAATAATATAAAAATTTCTTTTTTTTTTTCATTAGTATGAAAATCAAATGTCTGAAATGTTACTTAATCAATTAAAATCATCTCGATCAACAAATGGACTTGAAGAAGCTGTTAAAGAATGTATATCAGCTGCATCAAATGAACATGATCCATCTATTCAAAAAATTTTACTTAAAGTAAAAGAAAAATTCTATTTAATATAGATAGAATAATGTAATTTTGTTTTTATTTCTATAACTTAAATAAATAAGGCCGCACTTTTTGGTCGTGCATTTTTATGTGTTAATTTGAATAATCCAAAAAATTCTATTCGTCCAACTGTATCATTAATTAATGATTTATGTACAAATGTAATTCGTGATTTACGTTTAATTAATAATTTACAACATATTAATATATCCATGCCAATTACATATAAACAGTAGTGTATGAATGATTTTTTAATTAATTAATTATTTATTTATTTATATAGATTTGAATTAATTGGTTCACGTATTCTTATTGATCGTTTACTTCGTCGTAATTTACATGAATTTGCTACAAGTGTAACAAAATTATTACGCATGCCTCCTGAAGAAGGAGAAAATCGTATTTTAGTACAATGGGCTGTTCAAGAAGTTAGTTTTACACTCATTATAATATTTGAACTAATTTCTTATTAAATATCTTGAATACAACCCACGGTGAAAAACGAGAAAACTGCGGTCCGAGCTGAGATTTTGCAGGTCTAAAACGCATTTTTTTCTGTTCTCATCGTGGTTTTTAAAAGACGCATAAATGGTCTGACTTTCACAGTTTTTCAAAATGCGAAACAAAACCGCGGTTTTTTTTCTGAAGAATTTTTCCGTGGGTATCTTATATGATTGGGATCAATCATACATTGTTTTTTTTTCATCTCTTAATCGGGCAGAGATTGTGCTAACAGCTTTTTGTTTTTAGCTTGTTAATCCTTCGAATACAAATGAAGAAGCTATTGCAGATACAATTAAAACACGTCTTTCTGGTATACCTGGTATACCATTTATTGATATTATTGAAGAAGCATTTAAATTAAAAAAATATACTGTTGTCAGACGAGTAAGATCAATATTTCGATAATTAATTATATAATAAAATAATTTTTGTATATTAGTTACTTGATGTTAAAATTAGCTTAAGTGCTCAAATTGATATATTATTAAAGTTAAATGATAAAGAAGAAGCTTTACAAAAAGCATTATCTTGTGGTGATACTGATTTAGGTATTAAATGTTTGTTTATTTTGATATTTTATTTATTTGAAAATTTTTTTCTAGCTCTTTTTGTCCTTATGCGTATTAAAGCAAGTGAACCTTTAAGTGATTATATGCTTCGATTACAACGATTGAAATCTTTACCATTAAAATTACATTTACAAGTAAGAATTTATTTATATAATTAAAAAATCGATAACTTAAACTTCTTCTCGATAAAGAGAGACGATTTTCTCGGAAACGAAAAAACAAAAATTTATCTAGATTAGAAAATATGATCTATTCTTTTAATGTTAGTCGTTTACGTTCCTAAGTAAACATCAATCGTACTTGAATATATGTCATTTTTTATCATAATTTTCATGTATTTTTGACGAAAATTGATTTTTTTTTAAGTGAAGAGACTTAAACGTATAATATCTGCAAAGGTTAAATTAAAAACATTTTTGTTTGTACAATAGAGTGATCTCTTATATCTTCAATATGTATAAAATATTTTTTTTATAGTGTTTGGAAGAACTTGAACGAAATAATTTTCATGCTGAATTAATTAAACGAAATCCTGACGAACGAGAACGTATTGCTTATTCATATATTATTCAACGATTTTCAACAGCACTGGTAAATCATTTTAAAGAGTAATTTGCTAAGCATCATATAGTTAATTAGAAATCAATTCTTTACCTGTTAAAAGTTAATACATTGACTGTAATTCTTATATACTATTCGATGCACTGCAAATTATTCTACAAAATGATATTTCAAAATTCAATTATATGTTGTTTTTTTTTTAAATAGACAACATCAGATCAAAAAGTTGAATTAACAAGTGCATCAAAATTATTTCGTGAAGCTAAAAATGAAACAGTTGCTCAAGTAAATTAAATTTAAAAAAAAAAAAACAAAATTTATTTATTTTTTTTTTAAATTAAAAAAAAAAGTTAGTTGATGATGAAGCTCGTTTAATAGCTAAACAAGATGAACTTGAAAAAAAATTATATAATGTACAATTAAAAGGTTTATCATTAGTTGATACACTTGAAATATTATTAATTAATTTTGAAAAAGATGCAGATACATTACGAAAAGATTTTAATGTTAATGATAAAAGATATTGGTGGATTAAAATTCAAGCATATGCAAAAAAAAATGCTTGGACACAATTACTTGAATTTGGAAAAAAACCAACATCACCTATTGGATATGAAGTAAAATAAAATTATTTATAAAAAAAAAAAAAAACATTAAAAAGATATATTTTTTGTTTATAGCCATTTGTTGATGTATGTATTCGATCTCAAAAACTTGATGAAGCTCGTCGTTTTGCTGATCGATCTATTTATTCATCAAAACTTGATGATGAACGTCTTCCATTTATCTTTGCCAAAGTTCAGTATGTACTTAGTTGTTTTCTTTTAAATTCATTTGTTAACTTGTTTTTTGTTTTATTCTCTAAAGAATGGTTGATGAAGCAATAAATTCAGCAATAAAATTAAAATCAATTGAAGCTTTAAATTTTATAGAAGCAAAATGTCATCTAAGTGAAGTAAATTTAACAAAAATTCGTCAATCAAGAGATAAAATTCAAGATTATGATGATAATCCATTAAAAAATGTATTTAAAATATTTAATCGTGGAAATCGAGCTGATGAATAAAAAAAAAACAAAACGAAAGAAAATTTAATTAAAGCAATGATTTTTTTTGTTCTAGTGTGCAATTTTTTTTTATGATGATTATTTAATAAAAAAGAAAACGATTTTTTTGTTAAGAAATGATTAATTGGACATGAAGAAAAGAAATGTTTTCCATATTTGATATTTATCAAGAAAGTATAGACTTCATTGCATCATTTAATATGTTAATCATGAATAATACATAACGTTTGAAGAAAAAAAAATTCATGACAACAAAAAGAGAATACAAGTGGCAGTTTGCCTTTACGTGCTAGCATTCTTTTTAGAGTTATTCATAAAGAATGTTCAAGTAAAAATGACATTTTTGATTTTCCTTCTTCTACCTAAGCTTATACACCTTTCCGGATGACAATGTTTTCGATCACCAAAATTTTTTCAGCATTTGTTTTGCATCATGTTTCGTAATAAAGGTATAGAAATCAATAAACATACATTTCATAAGCAACCAACAAACATATAATTGATTCTAAAGTTTTTTTTGTTTTTTTAAATACATCCGATTTGAATGAACCGAAAATTGTCGAAAACAAAAAGTGAAGTTTAACACTTTGAGTACTCGAAAATTTCATATGACTGCTTCATTCAATAACTATGTGCTCATGTAACATAATCTTGAATTATTTCAAAACAAAGTTCACATTCAACTGATTCACATTCAGTTCATTTCCTATTTAAAGATCCTCTTACAAAATAACTAAGTTTCTAAATTTTATCGACAGTTTTGTGGAAAAAGAACGAAAATATTTCTAATGAGTATCTAGATGTCCAGAAATCTTTGCTCTCCCCTGCTTCTTATATCTGAATGTTTTTTTTTCATGGAGGAACACTATGATGTTGAATTGATATTTTGGGTGCTTGCGTATGACACTAAACTCTCATTATAAGAGTCAAAACCTATCTTCATCATTTTACATGTACTGGATTTATGATTCAGATATCACCATTTACTTTTTGTAATCGCGTTATACCAATCATGTTTGCATATATATTTTCGTTAAATTTCTCTTTCGAAAGGTAAATGCCTGCTCGATGTGATAAAGACTAGAAGCACTTTCGGGAAGAGAGAAGACAGTTACATTTGTCCAGGAATGTATCACCTCAATCATTGTCGGAATATTCAAATGTTAATTTTTGTCGATCTCTGAAAACTAAATCAATACTTAGAAAGTACTTGCAGGAATACTTGTTCATACGTATGAATTTGAAGAAGAAACAATACTTGATCTATTCGGTGAAGAAGTATAACACTTGTTGTTCTCTGAATTTTATACACTATAAATGGTTAATATATAAAGCGATACCGTGACGTTTATACTTAGGGCATACCAAAAGTCTTTACGTAGGTATATTAATTTCTTATGGAACGCTTGAAGAACTTTTCTTTTTATATAGGCTGATAGTAAAAACGAAGCTCTACATTTCAACACTTTGATCATTATTCATCTAATATCATAATAATAAAACTTCCATTAGACTTGTTTATCTATGCTATGTAGCAATAACATTAGTCAATATTGTCTTTGATGAACGTGTAGTCGTGGGTGTCGATGTGGGTGGTGGGTGTGGGCTCTGCGTATGAACATAACACATTGGGTGTGGGTGTGGCTAACGAGAAACCATTCACGCACACCCACCATGCAATACAATTGCTAAAAAAGAAACAACATAAGCAGTTCGTCAAATGAATTTGTCCATAATCTTGACATAGTTGTCAACATAATGGAATAGTTGCAACTGCCTTCGAGAATGCTATTACAAGTTCAATTCTTAGATGAGTGAGAAAAGTAGAAGCAATCTAGAATAAAATATGCAAAATCCATATACAATTCGTATACGATCGTAATTAAAGGAAAAAGACTAAAGAATTTTAGTATGACAAGATTTAAAATACTTGATTTTTGATTGTTTGATTTATTCATGAAACGAATATGAAATTTTTTTTGAAAATCTTATCTCTAAATTTGATTTTTATTTAAAATATTAAAACATTCAACAAAACTGTTTGATCCTACTCTTGGATATAATTACTAATTATACATAGTAGTTTTTCTGAAACAATTGAAGATAATCATTTTGAATAGAAGTATTTGTTTTTCTTTTACACATTTATATTTTTTGTCAAAATAAAAAGTATTGATAGAGAAAAAATTTAGTATATCACCTCATCACTGATGAAAAATACAAGAACGAGCATCTTTTTTGAAATATTTTATTGAATTGATTAATTTACCAATACATATGCATTCATGTATGTTCTTTCTGAATAATAATTCAGAGTTTTTTTTTTCTAAGAGTAATTTATTTTCATAAGCAAATTCCTATACAAACAAGTCCTTTTTCGTCTTAATTAATATTATACAAACAAATACATGTTTATATAGTTTTTCTTTTATTAAGTTGATTTTATATGTGTAAATGATCGAAACAAACTTCACATTTTCAATGGATACATCAATAATATCTTTATGAAACAAAAATAAAAATTATCCAAGTAAAAATATCCGACACTAAGATTTTAAATTTGATTTTTTGAACTGGACTGTAAACTTAGTCGAATCTGATCAGATTAGGATTCTACATTGGACTACCCAAGTCCATCTTCGATCCCGGCAAAGTTGTGGAAAAAATATTCTTCGAAGTTGCAATCAGAAATCGAAATGAATAGGCAAAACTCAATTCGAGTTCGAGTCGATTTAGACTGAATTCAAAGAAAAAGATATTATGTAATTTTACTTATTGTTCTTTTTGTCACAATGCTTGCTCCTGACAATGGCAGCTGTCTGCCAATCGTACTAAAACCTATATACTTGCGTGTGTTGATGTTTTTCACGATACTAAAACAATTCTAAGTTTGAATTTTTTCAAATCTTCGCTGTCTAAGACTGGACTAAAAAGTCCAATAGATGAAAGCGATAACTACTATACTTTGTCAGCAATTATCTTCTATGCAAATCATCAATCAAACATTTCTGTGACTTTATCACTCTATAATATAGAAATCACTATAAATCGAATATGTCGGGTTAGAAATCGATTCAATTCCGGTCTTTGGTTGAAATAATCATGAAGAATTTTTTTCGGAGTCACGTCAGTAAAAGTAAAGAATTTTTACTCTTACATAGTAACAAATTGAGTCTTCATATGCTAATTAATGAACAAAAACACTACTTCATAAATATTCATAAATAAGTTTCAAGCAAAATCTCCTCAGAGACACATTCTTATTAACAAGTAGCACAAAACGATTTATAGTAGTCAATAAAAATTTTCGGAGTTTCTCGTAGTCGCAGTGTAAAAATCAAACTTCACAGAGCTCTAAATCAGGTCTGACTATTAGATTGATCCCTCACAGCTTATTTGTCCTTATAACTTTGATCAGGATGGTGTGGGCATGAGTGTACAAGCGACTTATTACTTCATCCACACGTGCATTCTCTACTCAATGTCAATAATCAAACATCATGGCAACAATTCAAAGGATTTTTTAATTGTACTGAAAATCTAACTATATCCAATAGACAGACGATAGATTTTCAAGTTTCGGATCCTATTGTTATTCGACATGTTGCACTTTAACAGTGACCTGTCGGCACTAGTAATAGTACACATATGCAAATAATGACTAGCTCTCGACAAGCAAAACATATAACATATACTCAAAACACAGTTGATGCATTGCGTGATGCTCTATTTGATATGTTTCTATATTCTCTTTATGATCGGCATATTCTTATGTTTAAAAGTGACTTTGGTCGTATATTGGCATTTAGTAGTCTACAAGGTCATCTACTTGTTACTTTGAAGCCAAATGATAAACCGATATGTTCATACGGAGATGAACAAGTGACGTTTACCGAAACAGAACATCAGTATTCCGGTATCTACAGATTCTATTGAATTAAAGCTATTTCAAAATAAACAAAAATTGGTTTAATAGTGTCAATTTGATGGAACTAGTAGATCTTAGAATTTGCATAGGAATGCAGCAATAAAATGGAAGCTTTTCTGAATGAACCCTTGTTTTTTCATTTCATGTAAAAATTGAAGAATCACCATTATCGAATCAGGATTCAGAACGGAACCAAATTCATTTTTTCATTTCTTTTTTTTTTCTCGAAAACGTTTCAATCGATCGTTCTCGAATAAACTAAACTCGAAGATCCTGAAAACATGATTCGAAATAGTCAAATTGTGTGTTCAATGATTTCAAATAGAGAACAAGTACGATTAGATAATTACGTATAGCAAATTTAGCAGCACATGATTTGTGAAAATCAATTTATGAAATGAAGTCTGATGTGGATAACTTTTATCCTTGTTCATCGAAAAAACAACATTTTTATTAATGATCGATCTTCTCGAAATCAATCTTTAATTGAACTTTCGAATTGGATACATTTATTTTTCTGCCGTGTATGTAAAATCGTGAATAATCACTTCAACCTCTTGACCATTGATCGGTGCACGACCTTGAAAGAGCCATAAGTTCATATGGATAGGGCAGGCTTTTTCGGGTACGGACCCAATGAAAGATGATGGCGTTTGATACGAAAAGAAAATGTTCGAATTCGGATCATCGGTATGGCCGTGTTGACTTTGTAAATTAACTTGATTAGTAGACCAAGTAAATCGATGAGTTGTATAAGTACCTTGCAGTGAGATTTTCGTGCCTGATGATACTTGAGCGTGACCACCTAGAGAACGTGGATAGACTGTATAGAAGAAGTTATTTGCATTCGATGACGTTTGTCCCCATTTAGCTACTTCAATATCAATCTCGTTTGCTCCATCGGGTAAACCATAGGTAAAAAGACCCAAGACTACATTCGGATCGAAGTTGTCAATAGCGGCTTCAACATGCCATTTAAAAGTACCATAGGTAAAACTTGTTTGACTATACAATTCGGCACATGTCCATCCACCATTCGATGATGAATAGCTCAGTTTAAGATGAAGTCGATCGTTTGCATCGACCCATACGTTGCTTGAACTCCAATTATTGGGACCTGTGGAATTCGATTGAAATTATTTTTGAATCAATTAACAAAAGATACTCATACCAGGACCACTATTCTGTTGTTCGCGTAAGTACCATTGATAGCCTTTCCAATTGATCGATATTTGTGCACTACTTTGAGTAACTATCAAACAAAACAAAATCAATGAACACACTTTAATACATGTCATATCAATACTAACTTGAGATCAACACAATCACCGTTAGAATTATCTTCATGAAAACAATAGTGATAAACAAATACGAATATTATTTGTACTAATCTAAAATTGAATACTACGTAGTCTCGAACTACTAACTTTCTTTTTATGAGACCCAATGACGACGACAATTATTGAAATATAACTATAACGAAGAAAGTACACATTTTTGAGCTCTTACTTTACTTTCACATCATTTATATTTCATATTTTGCTCGAGGCACAAATGAAATTGTGCCTTTTCTCTCATGAAAATGAACACCATTCTACATTAGTCTATGTAGACATATAGAAAAAAATATTCCTGCATCGCAAACCGTGATAATTGAAAGTGGAATGACGTGAATGCATGCAACTTTGGGCGCAGTGTTTATACAGTCAGCTACTCGATGTCACAAGGTTCGTCTCCTCGCACAACTCACGCGCTTTCTGTAAGATAGGTAACGATCAAACGGTCACATAAACAATTTGGTTGGACAACGTCAAAAATGAGAGCGCTCGATACATAAAGAAATTATGAAATCTATAGGATGGGTGGTACCTCTATTTTTTTCTTCCAACGCTATACATGACATCCACCCAAAATCATGAAAAGGAAGTTGGTGACAAGCGCTAATCGCCACAATAGCCACATTGTTGTCTTTTTCTTTCACTGAGAACCTCGTTTTGTTGGCTCGTGAATTTACACATACAGAACCTTTTTGATTTCTTAAATCTACCGTCGTTCGGACCTTAGTCATAGAATTGCATTCTCCATTTTTGTTAGCATTTGTAATTCTAAAACTGGAAAAAATACAACTTTCTTCCACGGAATATGATTCTTTAGACTCACTTAATGGACTCGAACCAGCATTTCGATATGTTGTACCAAAATCTCATTTAGGACTAAACTAGTTCTTTTGTATTGTACATATGAGTCCCAAAGGTTAGAAAAATGAACACTCAGTTATACACATCGCAGTGAGGTCGACATATCTCGAATATGCGTTTAAGGAGCATCAGTGAATTTTCTATAATCCTACTGATATATGAATTAACATGACATATCATCAATCCAAAGACCAAACAATGAGGGCTACCTGTTGAACTATGTTGCTTTATGTAGAATCAGTTTAAAGACCTATATCATCGTAGAAGCTGTTATTCACTATGTAGTCAAATTTTAAAAAGAATATTTTCATCACACGGTTATTTTTTGACGATACGCTTTACAAAGAAGATACAAACCTGTTTCATATATCTCATAAATCCTTCCATATTCGATTTAAAAAGTGTCATTTATTTCGCAGAATCAGATCGAGTTACTTGCATTAGCAATTGAATAGGAATATTGATTTTCTATTGTGAAACAAAACTGAAAATGAATATTGAAGTTTAGAGCGAGAAAAGTGAATCACTTGCCAACCTGCTCCACAGGCACGTGATGGATATTTCGATATGCTATTTTGATTTTTTGTGACCACGGATTTATTATTTTAATGATAAATTACTTACTTATTTTAATAACTATTCTTGAGTTTTATTGTTTCGATCGAGAAATCCAAAAAAGCATCTCGACACGTCTGTTACGCGGTGTATGGCAGCAAGAGGCGCTGTCAATCAGTTAGTCTTTTATTCCAATTGTATTATACATTTTGATCTCGAAGAGATTGCGCTGAAAGCTTTTTTTTTTACAGAACAAAAAATATTTCTTTTCTACTGATGACGACACAACTTTATATGCTTGCATAGTGGGAGCTTGAAAAATGTCTTGACTTTATTGGAAAGTACTTTAAAGACAAACATACTTTTCATCTAAAGGCTGTGAAGAAGGACAAATTATGAGTATCTGAGTCTACATTAACTGATGAATTTCTCCAGTACAATGAATAGGACGCTATTATGTAATAATATTACGATGACAATTGTTACTTTCGATTGCAGCTATGTGTTCGGATGTGGATGAGGTTGTGGATGTCTTCTTCATGCAAATGCTCGCCTTCACTCAGAGCCACAGCTACACCCACATCCAACACTCACACCGGCACCCACCCACTGCCACACACACATACGCCCACACCCTTTTAACTCTCCTGAACCAAAGTGCTCTGATGAGAAATATGAATATACATAGTCAATTGGTCTATGTTTGGCTGAATATCAAATTGAGTGTCATCGGTGATCAATACACTGAAATTCTACATTTCATGAAGAAAATCGTCGAACATAACTTTTAGACAAATTATAGTAGTGCGACATGCTCATAAAAATATATAGTGCATGGATAATGGTGAAATTACTGCTTTATTCTTAGTAGTCGTCGTTGGCGTTTATGCAGCCATTATTTGTGTTGTTCTTATTGTTGCCCTTGTTTGTTCTGTTGTCGTTGTGCTTGTTGTTATCATAGCTGCCGTTGTTTGTGTTGTTGTTGTTGTTGCTGCCGTTGTTTGTTTTTTTGTCGTTGTGCTTGTTATTCTTGTTGTTGTCGCCATATTTCTTGTTGTTCTTGTTTGTTTTGTTGTGCTTGCTGTTGTTTATGTTGTTGTCGTTGTGGCTCTTGTTTTTGTTGTTGTGATTCTTCTTCTTTTTGTTGTCGTGGCTGCCGTTATTTCTGTTGCTGTCGTTGTGCTGGTT